CGGAACCCCCAGAAACTTTATTTTTAAAGGAATTTACTTATAAATGACATGGAATGCCTGTCATTGTGGCCATTAGCAGAAACAAAAACAAAAGTAGCTATTGTGGCAGGCATTACATGGACTGTTTTGCAGTGTTATCTTCTCAATTCCTCAAATCAACTTTCCAAGCGGTTTTATTATCTCCAAGTCACAGACAGGCAAGTGGATACTGAGGTGAGGGAAGAAAGCTGCCCAGGCCACAGAGCTGCTGAGGAGGGGAAGCAGGACAAAAGCCCAGGACATCCGGCTCCTGCCCTGTGGGTTTAACTGTTGACTCCTTTGCTTTGAGCATGGAATTTCCAACTCTTGTAGGACACCCTGCTGGAAATGCACAGGCTAGGAACCGAACCAGGTCTTTGGGAAACTGAAGCCAGAACTGTGCCCTGAAGCCACTATCTCCCCTCCTCAAGACCAGAGCCAGTGGCCACCCCCCAGGCAGGTGCCAGGGGCTCACAGAGGGACCGGGATGGGCGATGCTGTGGTGAATCTACAGCAAGCCAGCCAGAGCCAGAACAGCAGGGGCTGGAAGGTTGGCCCTAATTGAAAAACAGATTCTTTACTTGGCAATGGGTGGAGAGACCAGCCTAGGTGTAAATTCTTCCATCGGAAAGGGCAATTCTCATTTCCTACAAATTTAATCATCGTCATGTGTACATGTGTGTACATGCATGTGCATGTATGTGTATGCACGTGTAAGGCATTAGAGCTAAGAGCATAGCCTCTGAAAGGAAACAACTCAGAATCCACATCCTGACCTATGACACAACCTGAGTGATCTCAGGCAAGTCACTTAACCTCCCCTGTGTAGTGAGGTGGTGTAGTGCCTCCACACACAGCTGTTCTAAGTATCTGCAGGTGCATGCCATGGCTGAGCTAGAGGGAGCTTTGCAAGAGGAAAAGTGCAGAACTTCCTGTGTTACCCACAGGGTCTACCTCTCGGTCAGAATCCCGTTCAATCAGACCCAATCTGAGAGTCGCCATCACTTGGCAAACCATTCAGACCCCGTATGTGCAATTTCACCGCGGCTCTGGAATAGCTTAGCCGCACCAGGCCAGTCAGTAAGCGAGGAGCGGAAGCCTGTCTGTGTTTACCGCCTTTGACAAATGGGCGCTCATCTCCTCCTGACAGATTCTCCCCCTGACTTATCCATCAGCCTCTCCTCTCATCACCCGAATCGCAGTCTTCATAATAGCATTGAATTCAGGCGCATTTTACACCGCAAATAAAAACGAATTTAAATGCCTCGGTTCCCCACCAGCAACACAGGTACTGTAAATGTCAGACGCGTGCGGTTGTGCAGGGCTGTAGAGCCGCGCTGAGTGATGGGGTCGCCTTTGCGAAGCCTGCATGAGCTCCATGGCACTCCCCTGTGGGAGGGAGCCACCTGTGCCTCTACTCGCCATGTCAGGGTGCAAATGCGGCCAGCCTCTCAGGTCTCCCTGGGACACCTCCACGGGGTTTCCAGAAATGGCCAGGAAGCCATCCAAACTCAGGTCCATTCTCAGGGCTCTGCTAATCGGTGGTCTCGGGAGCAAAAGAGAAACATAAAACAAAACCACATTCCAATGTGCGCCGTGCATTTCTTCATAAACCACCAGGTGAGGGTCTCCAAATGATCATTAGCTTTCTGTCTGCCAATGGAAAATAGGATCAGGAGAAAGAGAAACAGGGAAACAGGAGGGAAAAGAAACATCTCTCATCCCGTCCACTGTCTCAGATGGAGCCCAGCCTGTGCCAACCAAGAAGAGCGATTTTCTTATTCCGCGATGAGAGCTCTCTTCGACTCCTGAAGTTCACTGTTTGTCCCCTATCGTTACATCTGGTCTAGGATTCAAGGGGAAAGTGGTTCATCTCCAGGTAAGCAGCCCACCCAATGGGATCAGGTGTGACACTGGAGGGACCGCCGGAGAGAACGTGTTAGACTCCAGAGAAAACTTGAGACCTTGTGTTCCCTTAAGTCCTTTTATCAAGAAGGAAGTCAACAGTTACTCAGACAAAGAATAACTGTGAGCACACAGGTATATCCAGGGGGAGACCAGAAGGAAGAGAAGGTGAAAGAAACAAGAAAATAAAGTTTAAAAGGTAAAAGGAAGTTTTTCTTGGGAAGCCCTGGAGCCCTGGAGCCCCGTGATCAGCGTCTCAGCGAAGGAGGCTTTGGAGAAACATGCTCTCCTTCAGCGCTCTCGGCGCTCGCTTGGTAAAACCCGCCGGCCACGGGTGGCCTCTGCAGCCGCAGGCTGACTTATTATTTTGGCACCTCTGTCATCGCTTGTCACTTCAATTCCACTTTATCAAATCACTGATTTTGCCAGAAGCATCCGGATTACATGGAGAGGGACACACACATGCAGGAGCGAGCGTCACCACTCCTGCAAATTTCATAATTATACGTCAGGGCGGTGGAGTACGAGGTGACGTCACTGCAGCTGCCAGGGCTGCCATTATTGCCGTCACATCATGCACGAGGGGAGGGCTGGCATCCCTCTGCTGCGGGATGTGTGTGGGGGGGCATTGCCCTCTTAGGTGATTCGATTTTGCATCCTGACACTTTCATTAAGAGACAGGACCTTCATAGACAGACTACCTCCAACACCTCAGGCCCACTCCCAACCACATGGGGAGACCCAGAGAAGCAACAGCCACATGTACACGTCACAGAAATAAATAAATCAGAAAAGAATCTAGACGGAAAGCAAAGTTCTGTGGAACAGAAGGAAGACGAAGTCCTCAGGGAGTAAGACAGTAAAAACAGGCCAAGTAGCCGAGACCGGTTTGGCTCAGTGGATGGAACGTTGGCCTGCGGACTGAAGGGTCCCAGGTTCGATTCCGGTCAGGGGCATGTATCTGGGTTGCGGGCACATCCCCAGTGGGGATGTGCAGGAGGCGGCTCATCGATGCTTCTCTCTCATTGATGTTTCTGACTCTCTCTATCTCTCTCCCTTCCTCTCTGTGAAAAATCAATAAAATATATTTAAAAAAAAACAGGCCAAGTATTAAGGTAGTTGTATCTCTAAGAGTCATCACCACCAACTGCAGCCAAAGGTTGGGCTAATTCCTGTGTCATTTGTCCTATGAGATCAAGTTCAGGAAACAATAGAAGAATGATTTTTTATACATATTTTTATTGATTTCAGAGAGGAAGGGAGAGGGAGAGAGCCATAGAAACATCAATGATGAGAGAGAATCATTGACTGGCCGCCTCCATCACTCCCTCCACTACGAACCTGCAACGCGGGCATGTGCCCTTGACCAGAATTGAACCCAGGACCCTTTAATCTGCAGGCTGACACTCTATCCACTCAGCCAAAACAGGTAGGGGCAGAAGAATGATCTAGAAACGAGACTTCCTTTTAACCCACCAGTCCATGACAAAGCAGAAAAATGCACATGTGTGCTTGTACGTGTGTGTTACCCTTTTTTGGAAAACAGCTGAAGCCTGTACAGAATTGTCAATATGATTCCCCCAAGTAAGCACCACAGAGCAGCCATGGGCTGAGGCTTCGCTCCCATCCTGACACAGGGACCGAAGGCAGCCGGGAGGCACGATGGAGCTCTGTGGCCAGCTGTCACTGCCCGGAGCTTGTCTGAGTTGCTCATTTATCTTGTTGGTGATGGGACTGATGTTGTTTTAACAGCATCAGTTCTCCTGGCATTTTTCAAAAACTACTGGCAATGAAAGTTAAAAAAAAAAGTATTGGGCACACACATGTTTGTGAATTCCATAAAAGCCCAAGGGAAGCAGAAACATCCTGAACTCGGAAGCAGGGCAGAACCTGTGCTCCACTTGCCGTAAGCGAGTGTCTGGGGCAGGTCACCGAGGGCAGGGCTGGTGGGAAGAGGTGAAAATCCCGTGGACACATGGTCAGCCCCAGTGGCAGTTTGCCCCACTCACAAAGCACATGCACGCGAGCAACCAGCAAGGAAACGTGTGATGAATGCAAACCTGGATGAAAACACCTTTGCCTGCCGACCAGAGCGACACCCACCCCAACTCAGAGACCATCACGCAGAGGGAATTTAAGCTGCCATAGTGTCACACTCCTTAAGTAATGTATGGCAATCACCTTTTATTGAAAAGCAAAATTTTGTGCTGAGACATTTTCCACCACCTTACCCATCAGCAGCCAACGGAGCTATCACAAAATCAGGGTTGAACACCTCTGCTGGAAATAGTGACGGCGTTGGACAACAATGGTACAGTTGCAGACAGAAACATCTTTCCAAATTGTGGAGTGATGTCTGGTATGCAGCCAGGAGATATGTAGCCTCAATTCCCTTATTTGACCTCTTTGGATTCAAGGCGTTAAAGGTAAAATTTTATCTGTTTGGGTGCACTCTGGACAGAAACTTCTGCAAACTCTTGTCAATAAAAAGAGAGCGTGAGAATATTAAAAGTGAGGAGCCAGGTCTAATGGGGCCTTTGCCTGAGGGGATGCACACCAAGTGCAGCAAGAAGATCAATGCGGGGGGGGGGCACTAAATGTGCAGGAAATGTCCTCCTCTTGCTGCCCAAACATCTCATGGAAATAGATGCTGCTGCTCCTTTATTGTGTCAGGATGGACATGGAGGCCGACTCTCTCCACCCGAAGCGCGTATTTCAAATATAAAGACACACCCAGAAAACCCCAATACTGTATTATACATCCTACATATTCTACTTAATATTATTTAATAACATGCACTATGGGACATTATAATCATCAACCCTATTCCACTAAAAGCAGCACCAATTTTTAAAATAAATTGCATTACGCACTCTTCACCAAAGTCATCAGAAATAACGCAGAGCAAGGAAGAGAATGATGAGCCATTTGAAGCATGACTGTCTTGACGGGTCTAACGCCAGCACGCATATCGCCTCTGCAAGCCACCGTCCAGCAAGGCAGGCCTTACACACTGTGTTAGGTCCCCGCGTTCTTGTTTTGTTTGAAACCAAGACAATGAAAAATATCGACTTACCTTTCTGTCCTCTATTTCCGCACAGGTATTGCAGTCTGCTTTGATATCCTGAGAGGAGAAGAGAGAGAGAGAGAACAGGAGTCAGACCTATGGCCAGGGAACACTCAGCAGCGTCGTTGAAATGCCCTTTAAAATAATAAAGAGCTCACCCTCCCGGCAGTGCTTCTCGAGCCATTGCTCTTTATAGCGCTTTTCAGAAGTATATGCCTTGGTGTTTGCATTAGAGACATATGGACGTCATAACTAAGCTTTATCACATGCAGATGTGGGTAAAGGCAACAGCTATGGATCAGAGGCCACAACAAAGGGAAGCTGATGGTTCATATAATAATATGCTCCCCAGACACCTTTGTTCACATCAGCAGACTGCCCTCAATCAGATATAATGTCTCTCTCCCATTCCAGATTTAGAAGTCAAATCATCCTCCCTTTAACACAAAACCATCATTGTCTATTTTTTATCTTTCCATCCATCCATCTATGTACAGTCTGTCCATCCATCCATCATCCATCCATCATCTATCCATCCATTATCCTGCGATCATCCATCGTCCACCCATCCATCCATCTATCCACCATCCACTCATCCATCCATCCATCTATCCATCATACACCCATTCATCCATCTATCCCTTCATCTGTCCATCCATCCACTCATCCATCCATCATCCATCCCTCCATTATTCATCCATCCATCTATCCATCCATTTTTATTGCACATCTACTTTTCTATGAATTTTTCCTTGTTTCTCTTAAATGTAATGGTGAAAAAAATACACACACACACATGGTTTCTACCTTCAAGGAACTTGCCAGTTATATAGAATGGCAGACACACACACACACACACACACACACAAGCAACTGTGACATTCATTTACTCATTCAAAAGATATGCATTCAGTACATCTGACATGCCAGGCCTTGCTCTAGGCAGGGAAGACTCGGTAACATTCAAAACACATGAAGAGCCTGTCCTGGTGCTACTGACTTTCTGTTAGACAGGACATACAATAAAAAGAAATGTGAATGCAGAATCACTATTTTAGAAGAGGATGTGTACTATGGAGAAAAATAAAGAGGGAGATGAGGAAGGGAAATGCTGAGAGGAGGAGAATAAAAATTACAATTTTAAAGAGAAGCAGCAACTGAGTAAAGGCTTGAAGAAAGGTGTGGAATGAGCGTGGGACCAGTTGGGGAGGAGCATCTTGGGGAAAATGCATCGGATACGGTCAAGTCAGAGGAGGGAGGCCACTGATTGTGGGGAAGCAAGGTAGGGAAGCAGTGGGAGGCAAGATCAGAGAGGAACCACTCAGAATCACTGTTTTTAAAAGGTTAATAAAATACACATAACCTTTACTATTTTAACCATTTTTCGGTGTTCAGTTCAGCAGCATTAAGCATTGTTGTGCAACCATCACCAAAATCCATCTACAAACTTTATATATATACATTTAATTTGCACTCAAAGGATATTTTTTAAATTGATTTTTAGAGAGAAAAGGAGGAAGATATAGAGAAAGAGAAAGAAACATTGACGTGAGAGACAAACATTGATTGGTGGCCTCCCCTACGTGCCTGGACTGGGGATCAAACCCACAACCTAGGTGGTGCCCTGACCAGGAATTAAACCTGCAACCTTTTGGTGCACAGGATGATGCTCCAACCAACTGAGCCCTAACCCCCAGGATGGCTTTATTTTGGAGAAGGGCCTCTAAGAAAACAAGTAAGGTTAAATGAGGTGATAGTGGTGGGGCCCTAATCTGATACGATTAGTGTCCTTATAAGAAGAGAGGACTCAGAGATTGCTCACTCCCTCTTTTTGCAGGCACACAGGGAGGAACTGCCATGCAGGACACAGAGAGAAGGCAGTCATCTGCAAGCCAGGAAGAGGGTCCTCACCGAACCCAGCCCTGCGGGCACCCTGACTCCAACTTCCAGCCTCCAGAACTATAAGAAAATACATTTCTGTTGCTGAAGCTATTCAGTCTGTGGTATGTTGCCATGGCAGCCAGAGTAGATTCAGACAAGGTTCCCATGATCTGCAAGGCACAGTCCTAGGCCACGGTTTTCTCACTCACACTCCTGTGTTCACTGACAAGGTCTCCGACTGACCCTGGACATTGAGTCAGTAAATGCCCCTTACTCTCACTAAGATCCCTCTTTGGAATTCATGCTCTAAGAACCTAAAGAGAAAGCAGAGTTTATCTCGGTATGGGAGTGATGAAAAGCATAGATTATGTTTAAACCTAAACGGTGCTATAAAGAAACAAGGTAAGAAAGAGTAGCTCCCTGCGGCTTTGGTGCGTGTGTTTCCACTCTTTCCTCCAGTGAAAATGTGTTGAAGTTGCAGAGAGAGATCCATATCCGATTCTGATTCACCCACACAGAAGTGGCAGGTGTTAACTTCCTAACCAAGGCAGTAACCCAGAGGCAGGTTTTGTTTCTAATCTGCCATTGAGGACCCACAGGCTGGGAAGAAAGCCATCTGGCGGCATCAGCTCTCTTGCCACCTCCCTAAGATTATTCGATTTCTTTTTGTCAGGATCAATTTACTAAGCCCAGGCTGGATTTTTTTATTTAGATGATATTGTTGGTTTGTCATCCGCTGCAGATCTACGCAGGAGGTGCCCCGGGGGACGGCACTCGCTTCGGAACAATGTTGGACTCAAATTGGAAAAATGCCTCGTTGGCGGGAACAAATTATTGTTCGAATCGCTCCGAGCAGAGCTGGTGTCACCAGATGGGCTCCGGCCTGACCTTGTCCGAACCGGAGTGGCTGCCTAAGTGCCTTAGTCCCACCAAAGACTTCGCTGGGAGGACAGTGCAGCTATTTATGTGCTAAGTAGGAACATGGAGCCATGCACTTATCGCCAAGCAATCAATTTCCCTACAAGCCAGAGTTCTCCTTTCTGCAGCCCGACACCCCAACAGTGACTCAATCACCGGCAACCCATGGGCTTCCCCTCGGGCTTGGGTTCCCATCACAGGGCCCCACCATGCTTGTGGTGAGACGGTGCCTCAGTGTCCCCATCTGTAAAAGGGTGATAATAACCATTGCCTCACGTGAGCCTCACGTGAGGCAAAGACCTTAGCATATGGCAAGTCATTGACCAATGTTAGCTGCCGCCCTGGCATCCTCCAGACATCTTTGTGAGACCTGCTTCCATGGAGTAATGAGACTTAAAAATGTTCTGTTTTTAACCTTTTCTCTCCGGTTTCTGCGTTCTTCTGGTTTCCAGTCATCAAAGCGCTGGCTGTCTGTTCTCTCCCCCGAGAGAGATACCTTTTCTTCTGCACGATGAGTGTGGGTTGTTTCTAAGGATTTCTGTAGGTCAGGGTTATGTATGCCCACAATGTAGGGCCACCATCAGCCTGGATCCTGGCTCAATGGTCCCCGTGAACAGGTGGAGAAAAACCTCTGCTGCTGATATGCACGAGGCCTCAGAGGATTCAGAAGGTAGGAGCCTGTGGTGGGTTGAATAGTAACCACCACCCCAAGACCCCCCAACGCCGGGAAAGGTATGCCCAGGTCCTCTCCCCTGAAACCTGCGCAGGTGACCTCATTTGGAAATAGGTCTTTGCAGATGTGATTATGGATCTCGACATGAGGTCATCCTGGGCGATCCGAGTGTCCTCTTAAGAGACAGGGAGAAAAGACGGCCATATGATGATAGTCAGGGACTGGAGCGATGTGGCCACAAGCCAAGGAATCCGGAGCTACCAGGAGCTGGAAGAGGCAGGAAGGACCCTCCCCCAGAGGCTCTGGCAGAAGTACACCTGCTGACACCTTGGTTCCCGGCTTCTGCCTTTCAGACCGCGAGAGGATAGATCCCTGTTGTTCTGAGCTACTACACTTGTGGCAGGTGTTTCAGACACCACAGGGAACTAACCGAGGCCTCCAGGAGCTTCCAATACAAATCTCCTTAGTTTGATACTTATCCCTGAGAAAAGGAAGGCATGACCCTAGGACCAGTCATGTAATCCATGCCCTAGGGCAGTGGTCTGCAAACTGCGGCTCGGTAAACTGTGGCTCACGAGCCACATTCGGGTCTTTGGCCCCTTGAGTGTGGCTCTTCCACAAAATACCGACTTCTGCGCATGGGCCACAAGTTTCAATCACACTGTACGTGTGCGCCCGCACGTGGTATTTTGTGGAAGAGCCACGCTCAAGGGGCCAAAGAGCTGCATGTGGCTCTTGAGCCGCGGTATGCCAACCACGGCTCTAGGGGAGAAGGAAAACACTTTAACAAGAGACCCCAGGGCAGTCCCGGGTTGTGCTCTGGGGCCCTGTGTTTGCAGAAGACAGACCCTGGAACTGGTGAATGATTTCAGGGGTCAGTCCGGGCGGGGCAATGGGTGCTTGCATCTGAGTGGGAGTTGAGTAAGGATCCTGCATCTTGGACACAGCACTGTTCTCCTGGCCTGGGATGCTCACAAAGTCCCCGAGTGATTCATAGGAAACACTTGCAGCTTAAGTCATCTCTGGGGACCTGGGGAGACACAGCCTAGGGTTCACCTGACAAGGCTGATCAGGCTTATGATCAACTGCCCTTCTGCTGGGGAAGAAACCGGAGCGTTTCCCTCTTCCTTTTTAAAGGGAAATAAAAGCTATGGGTTATAACATTACAAAAAAAGTACATTTCGACATCACACTCCAAAACTACTGCAGGAGCACATTTCACATTTGGAATCAAAGTTATGGTGAGCGTTTCCCTCTTCCTTTTCAAAGGGAAAGGAAAGCTATGGCAAGATGGGTTATAACATTACAACAAAGTACATTTCGACATCACACTCCAAAACTAATGCAGGAGCACATTTCACATTTGGAATCAAAGTTATGGAGAAGAGGAAAACTGATTTTGCCTCCACCCTTCTAGGTTCTTGGCTGAAGGCCCCTCCCATAATAAAAGACAGGTTAACAGGAGGACAACAAACATAACTTTACTGACATGTATACCTCCTGTATGCAAGGAGAGACCCAGGAAAACTCAGTAACTCCCCACAGGGAATGGCCCAAGCCACCACCTTAATTACCATCCCCAGCT